ACTGGTATCAACTGAGCAAACAACTTGACTGGGCACTGCCTTGCAGTGCCTCATGAGCTAACATGTTTCTGGGTCAAAGGGTTAAGGCTGGGACTGGGGCAAGGGTTGGATGAGACTGGTTGGAACCAGGGTAGAGCCAGTCTAGGGTGGTCTGGGCATGGTCATGACACATGAGGCCTTTAGTCTTCATCTGCATGGCATGGGCATTGCATGCAACTCATTGACAAGTTAGGCAGAGTCAGCTGTAACCATGTCCACAACACCTTTGGTGTGTGACAGCATTGAGGTGGACTTCTGCACAGATGGGATCAATGCTTCCTCCAGGACATACAGGCTCCCTGGAGGAGTGGATTATTTTTTTGGCTCTGACCTCTCTGCAGGCAGAGCAGCCAGAGCGGCAGCCTTAGCAGCATGGGCCTTGGCAGTGCAGGAAGTCAACTCTGGGCAATCCTTGGCAGAGTGGCCATGTTCACCACAGAAGAGGCACAGCCCACCAGTAAGGCAGCAGAGCTACTCAGCTGCTGTGAGCTTTCCATCCCTTCTGAGGAGATGGTTGATGTTGGACTTTGGTGCTTCAGCCTTTTTAGAGCCAGATTTAGGGGCAGAGGATGATGTGGAGGGTTTCAGCTTGGAGTCAGAGGTGCAGAGCAGAGTTCTTTCAGCAGGAGGAGGCTTGGAAGAGTGGGAGACTTCTGACTTGTGCTCCAAGTAATGTGCATCTACTGTCTGGGCCAACCATGGAGTGCATGAAGGGTGGCAGACTTGCCAACACAGGACACTTCATTCTTGATGCAGTCAGGGAGACCTGAGTAGAAGCAGTGGCAGAGTGTGCCTTCACCATAGTCTTTTACCTGAGAAGCCCAGTGGCTGAACTCCACTAAGTACTTCACAATGCATGAAGAGTCCTTCATAGTCAGGTTTTCCAGATGCTGGATGGCATCAGCAGCAGTATCATGAGAGCTGAAATTGGTAGTGAGCTCATGGAGGAACTTACAGTGGTCATCCATCCACAGCAGACAATTAAGCTAATCATCCAGATTGAGGAGGTCTGGTTCAAACCAGGCCAATGCCATGCCCTTAAGGTAGGACTGTGCATATGTGACCTTGGCTTGGTCAGAGCAGAATGCCTGAGGGCAGTCCTGGAAATTGAGCTCACACTGGACCAAGAACTCATGGAGTTTTTTATGGTCAAACCCATCAAAGGTATCTGGCTTGCAGACTTTGGTTCGCAGAGTGGAGTCTCTGGAGCACTGGTTAGAGTGGGCTAGAGCATGGATGGCCTGGGTCAGAGCAAGGACCAGGTCATCAAGGGGATCTGCGAGGTTGTTGGGATCATCCTCATCATCTGGCCCATCACCAGGATGGTAGTCAGGATTGTTGGGGTCATTGTTGGGGTCACCTGGTCCATCTCCACCAGGGTGAATGATGACAGGAGGTGGCAGAGAGTGGAGGGCAGACTGCTGACAGACAGAGGGTGTAGCACATGAGGCACTGTCTGGTGCAGGGTCAGAGTTGGAGTGCCCCCTGGAGAAGCTCTGGAAGGGCCCAACAACCAAAGGGAGACATCAGGGGTTTTCCAAGGCTGTAGCAAGGGCCTTGGTAGCATCCTGTTGTCAGAGACATGTCATGGGAGGCATAGTGTGTGTGGTAGGGGAAGTGAGAGAGCTCACACAAGTAAGAGTACAAATATACTGTCAAAGTCACACAACACCCCTGACTTCCTCTTAGGGTGGAGTAGGAGCAGGTTGGGCTGTGGAGTACAGTGGTCAAAGTCTGAAGTGAATCTAACCACTGGGTGGCAAGATATGCAATGAACAAGGAGCAGAGGAGTGTGGAGGGAAGTTTCAGAGACAGGTGTTGGAGTTGGAGGTCAGAGGTCAGATGAGAGGGCATTGGGTTCAGCTAGTGTGCTGCCCCCTTGCATGAGCTCAGCCCTCATATTTCAGAGGTAGAGCAGACTCAGAAGAGTGGAGATGAAACTCCAGAGGGAACTCAGAAGGAGTCAGAAGTGGGAACTTTATTCAATATTCATACTGATTACATCAGAGTACTATGTGGCCTTATATATGATGTAGGTCAAGGGTGGTGCAGTGTAGAATGCAAACCAATAAATGTATAACAGGTTAGCAGTCCCTCTGACACAAGGGATAGAGGATAGGGATGATGGGGACCTTGACTGAGACAAGGGAACTACTATGACAAGGGAGAGAGGGTAAATACCAATGGAGCAGAAGAATGGAGAAAAACCAACACAAGGACAGAACCCTATCTAGAATGCAAGGTTGCAAGTCCAACATTCCACTGAGCCAACCAAGGCCTCAGAGGAGGCACAGGTGGGCAGAGGTGGTCAGAATGTAGACATGGCACCTCAGAGAGGTGTGGAGATGTGTCAGGAGGGTCAGAGGAGTGCAGGAACATGTTGGAAGAGGGCAGAGAAGTGTGGGAACATGTCAGAAGAGGGTGGAGTAGGTGTTAGGGGCTTATGCTGATGTCATGGTCATGACACTCAAAGGTTCTGTAATTTTGTTGGGGGTCACTCAACTTTTTTAACATGAAGCCTGCTGGATGGAAGGTCTTCCACTTGGGCCCTTGTCCATACAGTGCACCCACTCCATAGAGTGATGCATCACAGATGAGCCATATGGGCTCTTCTTTTTGCACATTGATTGGCTGTAGCACTGGGTACTTACATGCCAGATCTTTTATCATCTGGAAGCATCAGTCATGGATTTCCCTCCACAGGAATGGATGTCCATTCCTTTGTATCCCAGTCAGTGGTGTCATGTATGCTGAAATATCTGGCATAAATTGTGCCAGGTATTCTATGAGGCCAATGAACCATTGAACCTCATTGAGCAACTTAGGTAATCTCCAGTTCCTAATTTGAGACATTTTCTCTCTGTCTGCATGCATGCCCTTGGCATCAATTACATCAGGAAATTAACACTTTACTATTTTTGACCTTTCTGTGACTTTTTTTGATTTTTTTGTGACTATTGTGACTATTTGTGACTTTTTGGGAAGGAACCTACTATCTGTACTTTTTTTTGACCATATACAGCATTTTGAAGAATGAAAAGAGAACAGAATCTATTGAGACAACTAAGTGATGATATATCTAAGCCAGGAAGACTAGACAATGTCTGAAAATTCAGAGATATTGAGCCATTGGTGTGATGCACACTGTCTGAGAGAAAAATCTCTTTGGAACCTCCATCAATTTGAATGTATGTGGTATCTACTGAAAGCTATGAATTAGGTGGTTTGAACAAGACCAAAATCAGCAAGAAAAGTGCAGCCATGCCTGCAGGACATGGGTAATGATAGTAGATTCCTTCCCAAAAAGTCACATTAGTCACAAAAAGTCAAAAATAGTAAAGTGTTATTTTCCTGATGTATGTGCCCAAGGCAGTCAAGTTTCTTGGTGTATAAGTCACACTTCTCCCTCTCAAGGAAGAAGTCAGCCTGGCACAGTGTTTAAACACTATCTGGAGGTGCTGCTTGTGCTCCTCCAGCATATACTGTAGATGAATATGACAGGAAAGCACATGAAGTCACAGTAAGCATGGAAACACTGTAGACAGGTTGTGAATTGCTGTGCCATTATTGACATTATTGACACAACAACCAGCTGCACCATGGCCAACTCAAGTACTCACTAACTCACACAAATCACGATCCTGTCCTCTCGAGTAGTTATAACGGTGGTGTAGATTATCGGACTAATAGGACCATGGGGATTCAACAAGTGATGTGAATATTATGTAATATTGCGATGGATGTGTTGGTGACAGACGTAAATAGGAAAGGATCAACTGCAGATATGCTGGTGCTAGACAACTGGTATGGGGATCGAGTCAATGGGCCCACAGATCTCGCCACAAGTGGGGAGGCCAGTCAGGTGGCAGCGTCGATACTCACGACTCGCGAGCATACCGCCATTAACGGCGGCGCTACAGGTCAAACGGCCGCCTCTGCGTCTTGTTCCGATTCCGGTTTCTGCTGACGTCAAGGACAGCAAGGGCCACGCTACTGCACTATGGCCTTCACGGACCGCCTGTATCACATGGAAAAGCTGGGTGTCAGCGCGGCGGATGGCATGGTGGTGAGCCGAGACGGAGGACACCTCGTCCCCTTCGTAACTGGCATGCCATATTACTGGGAGAGAGATCAAATACCCGGCAGCCTATCGGGGAATACGCACAAGCCCACTTGCTGGTCTGGGAATGACACCTCGCGTATAATGGTTGACTTTTAGCGGCCGGTTGCACCCACGGAGATCAGATTGGGGACTAGTCTCTTAAAATTCTATCCGAGATGTGGATCACCCTCGATCCAGTGGCGAACGATGTCCTTCTGGACCTCCCTTGGTGTCCTTGTCCCGCCTGGGAACCTGGCTGATATGTTTGGAACTGCAAACCATTTGCTGGTGGTCGCCAATGATTGTGATTGAGGTTGGCGCTGTGACGGGGAGGGGGAGCATATTCGGTAATCCAAGGCATCATGAACTTCTACGCGATTCCCAGTTGTCTGACTCTTATTCGTATAAGACCTACAAATTTGCCCCCATGGCCTTCACAGCTGCAACCACCTCCTTCAGCTTCACGTCTCCTCCGTAAATCAAGATATCAAAAGCCCCGTCTGTCCTGCAGCGCAACAGTTGGGGCATCCGCCGAAATGAGGTGCGGCTCAACCGCTCGAGTCTTAGTGCTGAAGGTGTAAACATAGAACTGGGTTCCGAAGGAGCTGATGTCAATAAGTTTTGACATGGGGATGATGCCGGATGCGATTTGATGGATGCCATCAGCTCGGGCTCGGGCGGAGAGGTCGACCAGAGAACGATTCGTTTCGATTGCAGCGAATAACATGAACACACCTTCTGTGAATAATGTAGCGTGCAGTGAAGTCTTCACATCCTTTGGCACGCTTATAGTACCTGAAGTGTTATTTGGTAGTACTCTGTAGGTGGGAATCTCGAAGAATTCGACCTATTCCCACCTTCAGAGAGGAGGGTGTTGAAGAACCCGGTCGCTATATATCTTCGCCATGAAAACCGCCATTAACCTCAGCTCCATGTTATATATGCATGTTTGGATATCAAATCCACTGAGATCATAGGGCGACAATTGCCACCACATATCACAGTGTCGAGCGACGTAGTCCGAATTTGGGATGATCGCCCGCTTGCCATACTGGGTACCCGTGGACCGATCCAAGTTGAAACAATTCAACCAGATTTGTGTACGGCTGAGGAGACGACGTGTGTGATGCTGGTTGAGGGGCTTCGCAGTCATGGGGCAGTTGAGATTGATGTCTTGCGCGATCCTACTTCGGATGTTTAGTTTGTTGCAAACCGTAGACCTGTAAGCAAACCTACCAGATGGCAACGCCAAGATATATCCATCCCCGATCTTCTTCCCAATGTTTCGGAGGCACCGGATATAACTGCACGAGCAGGTACGCAGAACAGATCTCCTCATTTTTCGGGCCTGATATGAGTGCCGTGCCAGCTGCAAGTTGAGCATACTGCATCAATTGTCCATAAAGCTCTGGTCTCTTCGTGACGCAGTCGCACACACTACATTACTGTCAGTCACTTCCGCAACTAGGCAATCATTGAGGTCCCCTACCGACGGTGAAGAGGAAGGGACTGCGCATGGTGACATACTGAGGGGTATGAAGGTAACGGTCTAGTAATGATACGGATGGGTTCATCTTCTGAAAGTATCTGGAATGACGTTAAGCGAGGATATAGTCATGCTCGCAATGGAACTCACGTATCGAAAAATGCGTCCGCATGTGCACTGTAATAATACTGCAGGCCGGGATATGAGAAAGGTGCACGTTATGGGAAAGTTCACTTGTACATATAGGTCTGGGTCAGGGCCTATGGTGTTATTGTCAACTCATAACATCGGCGTGAGAACAGGAAAAACGGACTAGGCCTGAAGAAATCTGCATTCGTAACTCCCACTGCATCGGAAGACTCGGGTTCCGCGTTCCTCCGTCTAGCACCTGCCTTGATCGACATACAAGCCATAAGGCCGTAAGGAGCTTCATCATTAGGGATGAGTTGTGGAGCAGATGCATCCTTCTTTTTGGTGGAGTGTGCGGGTGACCCCCCATCTTTAGGCCAATCGTCTTCCGCGGTGTCATATTCGGAATCGTTTGGAAAATCTTCGTCATCTTCGCCATCGGTGGAAGCGTGGCCATTTCCTCGATGTATAATAGTAGGGCTAGGAGCAGGTATCAGCCCACCAAAAGTCCGCAATGATTCTCTAGCCTTTGAAATCCAGTCCTGTACTTCTTGTTTCGGTACGACGTCCACCGCATTGGTGTCTATTGCCGTAGAAGGAGGTGATTGTGACTCTGAAGGGCTGACCACGGCTTGAGAAGTGCCTGCGGATTGATTTGATCGCTCCAGTTTTGCCATAAGTTCTACAATTTGGGAAGCTTGTTCGCGAATTTGCTTCAGTAATACCTCTCGTTTACTATACAACCGTCGTCATCAACCTCGACACGATTGGGAAACTGTTACACGCCCGGAGGACGGCGACGAGGTTTTCGGTCCGGTATGACACATTCCATATTGGCTTGCGCGCAACGCTTGCAATTCACGTCGTATCTCCAACAGATCCACATCGAAGCTAAGAGAGGAATTGTAGATGCCGAGAGCTCCAGGCTTGCTTGCAAGTTGCCTTCAAGCCCCTGCCGCGACTGTATGCACTATCCCTAATGCCTCCGACGTCTGTGAGATATGTGATGCGTCGATTACCAAAAACACGTACGGTTTTTGTTTGGTAGCGTTTTCATGTTCGTTAGAGGAATCGGCACCGTCATCTGCTGGTATTGGTCGTTTGCGTGGCTGAGCTGTACCTTTGGCCCCGTACAAACGAGCCCGCAAGTCGGATTGACGGTGCGGAAGTGGCTGCGAAAGTGAGAACTGCATAGGCCCAGGTTGATTCGTTCACGGTGGCTGGAGGATGCGTGGGTGCGTTGGACTGAGGAAGGTTAGATGAGTTGAAATCGGCAGGATACTGAGGTCGATAAGGGAATTGATCAGTGGTAGGGCTGTCTCGAGAGAATGTGGGAGGTGATTAAGTTTGGACGGGTGAAGACCCAAAGGTCGAGGAAGCCGTACCCCATAGCGTAGTATTGAGATCTGGGTTGAAAGTGGAAGGTATTTGCCGTGCGAAGGCAGAAGCTGATAGAGGGCTGCATCGTCTGATATTGAGAATACGTGACAGAATGCCATTGTAGGGTCTCTGAGAAGATGCCGATAGTAACGGGACTGTGTTCTGAGAGGCTGGCTGAGACTGCAACAGACAAGTACACTCCTCTTCCAGCTGCAGCGCAGTATTAATATTGAGATGAGTCTCAGCCGTGTGACCAGAAGGTAAGACACCCTGCAAGGTCCTCTCCTGGCACGCTCCCACAACACCCACCCCCGTCAAAATGCTCAACGGGACAACAAGGTTCTCCATTGGTGCCCACACTGTTACAGGAAATTTCAGACAACTGGTTTTAAGCAGCACGAAGCAAGTCGTAGGAAGCTCAAAGAACTTTCAGACGTCAGTACGAAGAGAAACGAAGAGGTATGTATGTTGGTCTGCATTGGGAGTACCAGAACTCAACTCGCAGGGCCGAGAGCCCGAAACTCGCCGCATGGCAACAGGAATGTTTGACGTTGATGAATCTGATCAGTCCAACTTGTAATTATGTTGTAAGACAAACTAAACTGCGTCTGGTTGGAGTCGAGATGGCTATGAAGCCGAATTACAATGAACTCATTGACAGCGACATGCCCCAATCTCCAGGTATGTCTTCGCCTCGATGCATTTATGAACTGCTAGCAATTCCTTGAGATGTGCAGACGCTTCCTACTCGCTCTATATAGTGTGGCGGAAGTTCCTGAATTCAAGACCAGGTTTCATCCGAGAAGCGATCAACCACCATTCTGTCAGTCTTACGAAGAGTTCCATGCTCGTATTAAGTAGTCTACATCACAGGTCGATGAAACACCCTGGTCCCTCTTTCGCACACTAGGCGAATTCAAGTTCGTAGAAATTGCACTCGACGCAGTACTCAATCAACATGTCAATGCAATGCTTGATCTCATCGCTCATGTCGCACAGGATGCTAACTCAGGTCTCCCTAAAGAATGGCGCAGAGCTTTGCTAAATGTGTGATGCAACTGCGATGGGAATCACGCTGGTAAATCTTTGAAGTATTCATCCATTCCCATTCATGCCACCTCTCCAACTAGTTCACTAGGGTCGAAGTCAAGGCACCATATGAACAGGAAGAACGCATTCCGGGTTCTTCTGGAAGCCATTTAGGAATCCCTTCAAATAGACCACGGTGAGCGAGGAAGCGACAGGGGTAATTATGTTGAGCGAATGACTCCGAGAAAGGGGTATTCCAGGTCCAGGAAACGGTCCAAAGTGGAGTGTTGAAACCGCAGCCGGAGGTAAGGTGATGGGAAGAGCACTGAGGCGTGCATCCGAAAGCAGTGGAACGCCTTGTTTGAATATTTCTATGGAGGGATAAGATCCCCTGACCATGCACAAGGCCATTACTGGTTATCTTTGGCTGCTGAAGAGAGGGAGCGACCGTGGTTACGAGGTGAGAAAGCAACGCGCGAAGTTCTTGACGGTCCTTGGCGTCCAAGATTAACTCGCGGAACCGGTCAATGCATGGCATTAACTCGGAAGTGATGACATCCATAATGCTGCCATCTGATATTTGGGGTCCCAAATGGACGCTGAAAGGACAGCGGCGATGTAAGTAGGTTCTGATAGCGCTTTCCCTGTGAAGGATCAGGATCCGTAGAGTGTTCCATAGAGAGGGAGTGTTCAAAGCCACTTGACGCTATCTTCGACATACGTGCGATAGTTGCACCTCGATGGGAAGAGGACTACGGAAACCTGTCCACCGGAGAAGCACACGACGACGCTCGTCAAAAATGATATCAAGGACATCTGATGGTAAGCGGGAGATTGGCGCCGCATCGTTCTTGCCGACATTGAGGAAACCACTGACATTGCAGCAGCCAGTCGGAGAATGTGAAGGAGCGGTTTTCCGTTAATGAGTATGCTGATTTCGCGCGCGACCCGCAGGAGGTGTCGTTCCTCTTCCGTTGGACTACACTTTTTCACTAGCAAAAATGTAACCAGCGAATTATGTAACACAGTCAATCCGAATAAGGCAACTCCGCAATCTAAGGACGTGGGCGAGGTCACGTGACGACACAGGCTTATGACGCCGGCGAAGGTGTCTTACGAGGACGCCTGCAGTTGTTTAAATAGCGTCCTCGCAACGATGCATCAAGCGCCAAATCACATCTTACCAACGAATTTTATTCAAGTTCTGTAGCTGAAACTATGGCTGCAAGAGAGCTCAAGGAGTTTACCCTCGAAGAGGTTGCGCAGGTGAGTGTCCCCGTCGTACTAGTATGAGGTCATCGTTCTCAACCTCTATAGCATAATAAACCCGGCGATCTGGTACGTGGTTTTATTACTGCGGTGACTTTGCGAGAAAATATCTGACAATTGAGTAGTGGGTCGTCATCGACTCGAAGGTGTACGACCTGACGCAGTTCAAGGACCTCCACCCTGGCGGTATAGCTGTGCTGATTGATAAAGGAGTCGGTGAGTTGTCGGCTAGGACATAGCATGCCACTGGTACCATATTCATGCTCGCCATCAGCCGGGAAGGTTGCCACAGACGCTTTCTATGGGCTTCACCGACATGAGGTGTTGGAGCGTCCGCAGTACAAACGCCTCCAGATCGGCACAATCAAAGCGCAGAAGAGTGTCATATTCGGTCGCAAGATTGGTGAACTGAGTCAAGTACCTTATGCCGAACCCACTTGGCTTTCTCCAGGATATCACAGTCCGTACTACTCAGATGTACGTGTGGAGCTTAGCTGGACTAGATTATCGCCGTTAATCCCAACCCTCCAGAATCATCGACAGTTCCAAAAGGCTGTCAGGCTGTTCGTAGATGAAGTCGTGTATCCCGATGCTCAGGTATGAGGTTTCGGTTTCAATCTGCTCTACGCTCTTACGTATACTACTGAAAGCTCCGGGAGGAAGACGGCAAGCGACCAAGTCAGGTTGTCTTTGACAAAATGGCGTAAGTCGACTCTGGTCCGAAACCGATGTCGGATAACGGTTTGTTGTCAGAGACATGAACTTGCATGCAATGCGACTTGGTCCTGGAAAACACCTCAAGGGCCGTGTATTGATGGGTGGTATCGTCAAGCCAGAAGAGGTTGGTTGTACATCTCTGTTCGCATTTTGAGCTCTGACGTGATTGAATTTGGACATAGTTTGATTATTTCCATGGGGTCAGGATCAATAGCTGTGACATAAGACATTATCCATTTATACTCATTGGCTACGTTACAGTTGATCATCACACAGGAGCTTGTGAGATGCAGTGCACGAGGTTACGGTGATGGTGAGTCGCCGGTTATGGTGCTCGTTCTGAACTAACTGCTCTATTTTCAGGCATGCTCAGCGGGAATGTCATCGGTCTGCCCCCCGTACTCAACTTCGGCTCTCCAGAGCTTCAGGCTCGCATCGTACCAGATATCCTGGCTGGGAAGAAGTTCATCTGCCTCGCCGTTTCCGAGGCAGTGGCCGGGAGCGACGTCATGGGACTTCAGACGACAGCTGTCTTAAGTGAAGATGGCAAGGAGTGGATCATCAACGGAACAAAGAAGTGGATTACCAATGGCACGTTAGTGCCGATTTCCGCCCTTTTGGTGCTGCGCAGCTCACGTAAGTCTCTGTTGCCAGGTTCGCTGATTAGTGAGTAAATTCGTAGGCTGCTTTGAGCGCTGCTTGATCATTTGTTAGCTTCACGGTGGCATGCAGAACCGATGTGTGTGCTGTTCGTTTATTGCGTGGCTGTCTTTGACCTGCTTTTTTTAAGGATGGGCTTACCGTCATATTGGTCGAGCGTGGACCTGGCATCGAGACGCGCCAAATCAAGACAAGTTACTCCACTTCCGCGGGAACGGCATACATCACGTTTGACAACGTCCGGGTACCGACTAGCAACACCCTAGGAGAAGTTGGTGGTGGTAGCTTCGTTATCCTTAGGTGAAATTGCATTGAAATATTACAAGTAATGCGCAATTGACGGGACTTCTCGATTCCAGCAACTTCAACCACGAGCGTTGGTCCGTTTGCTGCAGCTCAACAAGTGCTCAGCGCATGATGATTGAAGAATGTCTGAAGTGTGTATATATCAGACTCGGCATACCTAGCACCATGTTGAACTAGTTGTACAGGTGGGCGACGCAACGGAAGGCATTTGGAAAGCCACTCATCTCACAGCCGGTCATCCGCGCTAAGATTGCAGCGATGATCGCACGGACCGAGAGCATGCAGAGCTGGCTAGAGAGCATCACGTATCAAATGACGCATATGGTCAGTCGTCGACTCATCACTTCGTGTGCCATGATTGCTTGATATTGATCGACAATTGGTCAGACATACAAACAACAATCTCAGAAGTTGGCCGGGTAAGTTGTATCTCTGACTGTTTGTCCCTAGTAATGCATTGACATATGAGATAGTCCGATAGCATTTTTGAAGAGCTACAGCACGCGGTGTGCACAAGATACCGCTCGAGATGCCGTTCAAGTGTTTGGTGGCCGTGGTATCACCAAAACAGGCATGGGCAAATTTGTCGAGCGTGTAGGTGGTCCCTGCCTGAATTCCTCCTAATGTAGTGTTGACAACCGCACAGTACTACCGGACTGTCACGTTTGATTCCCTTCTCGGAGGAGGTAAGGAATCTCGCTGCATCATACTATTTATGATTTACAAATAGTGCTTCGTAGCCGAAGACGTCTTGGCCGATCTTGGTGTGCGACAGGCAATAAGAGCGATGCCGAAGAATGCCAAACTGTAGTCACCGCACACCGACTCCGCGAACACCCACTGTAAAGGGAAGACGGGTTGTTCATTTGCTAGACCGCGTGTAATGTTTGCCTGTAATAAATTTCATTATGCCTCAACTATGCAATCCCTTCCCAGAAAGTAAACATCTGAGCTGAGTTGTGGTGCAACGTGATTTGTGCAGCAACTGTGGCATACGGCTTCACTGGAGACTCCAAGCTGCATCAATGTCACTTGTTCCCTCGAGTAGTTGCATATAGAGATGTGGTGTGTATTGGATGCATTGGTGAGAAATGTAAACAGCAGCAAGTGGAAACAGACAAAAAGTAGAGTGCAACCTAGTACAGGACAGGTGTGTATGATGGAATGCTGCCATGCAGACTACAGTTAAATGGCCACCTTTGCAATTGGCCTGTAAATTTATGCCACTGATACCCATGAACCATTGGCTCAAGTTCAACTCTATGCAACAACCTCTGGGTATGACCACTTTGGTCCTCATTGTGTACCATGGAGACCTCAATCCTACAGGTATCCAAAGCAGTAATTCACCCTAGGGGCCTTTGATCCAACCATCATGGTGAAGCTTAACTGGTTCAACCCATGTAAGGCCATCTCCCTGGAGGAGCCCATCAATAAGATGTTCACTATCACAAAGTGCATGTGAAGGGACAGGTGAAAAGCAAATGTGACATGACCTGGTCACTGAAATTGTGTTTATAAAACCATAATACATCAAAAGTGTGTTATGCTTACCATCTGGTTTGTCAGATAGAACTTGAGGTTCAATGCTCAAATTGGACATAGAAAACATCAACTGCTCATCCAACAAGCCTGAAACAATCCTCCTGTCATCAGGAGGGGATGAAACCGAATCAACTGCATTGGTATGCCCCTCAAGATGGCTATCACCCTCCACACCTCTTGCAGCATCCCAAACCCTCACAGTCTTGTCCTGTGAGCCTGACACAATCCTCTTGCCATCAGGAGAGAATGCAACTGACATGACTTTATTTGTATGCCCCTCCAAGCCAAGCAGTTGAGTGGCTGACCAGTGTTCTGAACCTCCTACAACTCCAGGAAGGGAAGAAAAATTGGTCCTGAGCATCATTGACAGTGATGTCTTCCTAGGAATAAAGGCCAGTGCCAGAGACATACAGATGTGGTGCACTGTGGGCAATTGCACCACTGGAGCTCTGAACAAATCTGATTCCATCTTCTACCAATCCTGAGGTATTCTCAATGTCATCTTGGTTCTTCAATGTAAAGTCAGACAACATGAAATGCAAAGAACTATGACAAACTCAGCCAAGAACCATGTTTTGGCAGAGATAAGTGCTGCTGCAGTATTTCCAACTCCACCCAGCAGGCTCATAGTCTCGAGCCAAAACAGAAGCTTTTTCACTTCCCACAAGGTCCTTTACCAGCTGTGTAAGCACCGAGTCAAATCTAGTCCTTCTGCAGATGTTGGGACCAGAATTGACAAGAGTAGGATAGATAAGGTGGAATGTTCTCGCTAATTCTCCCTGGTAAAGGCCTCTGCATTGCTCAAGTAGGAACTTTCCAGTCCACAAATGTTGAACCGAAGGTCATCACGCAGGATTCGCAAGGTGGCAACAGCTAGGGTATATGGGCAAGAGGTGTCAATGAAGTAGGCCCCACTCCGTGAATGGTCAGTTAGGAAGTCGTAAAAGGATGCATGGAGGGGTCGGACAGGAGAGGAGCCATCTGTAATGCCCCCAAGCACCGGGGACATGAACTCGAGGATAACAACAACATCATAGCGATCCTGTTCGTTTGGGAACTGTTTGCGGATGTGATTCAACGCCCCCATAGGTAGAGGTTCAAGTGTCATTACAACTTGACCCATCACTGAGCGATATCGTTGACGAGCTTTCGTAGAATCGGGGATAGCGTTCTTCAGGACTGTCGAGTAAGTGGCATCCAAGAGCGTTCTTCCCTCTTCGGACTCGAGAGTAATCACCTCATCATAGCGTTCCCGCACAGTTGTCCCGGCTTGGTTTGACTTGATGAAATCGCAGGCCAGACGGGCCCATTCAAAAAGGCAGTCTGCCTTTTGGGAAACCCTCTGAACTTCGGTGTCCCTGATTTCTGGAAGGCGTCCAAGTTGTTCGGAAACATATAGACGGATATCGCGTTCTGTCCACCCTGCAAAAACGTCGTCCAAGGATGTTGCCTTCACATGTCGAGCAGCTCTCAATATATGTTCAATGTCCGGCAATGGACGGGATGTTATGAAGACGCGAAGGTTGGGAGGGAGATCATTCGCCAGTGATCCAAGCATAGACAAGATGTAGCGCCGTGAGGGTTCCGCACCACTCTCGTCCAGCGCGTCGATCACCACGACCATGCTTCCAATGATAGTACTCGACGCCTTCGACAACGGCTCCAAAATCAGCTTCTCCCACTGTAGCGTAACGTCAGATGTAGTCTTGAGGGAATGGTCCTCCGCAAGTATGTCAGCCAGTGCTCGCCGGAATGCACGGTCGCGGTCCGCCAGATCACGTGCAATGGTGGTAAATATCTTTTCCTCGCGATGCTCAGCCTGCCTATCACGGGCGAAGCAAAAGCACGACCCGAACCCTCCGGTATCCTTGAGCCACAAGGAAATGGTGTGCGCGATGGCAGACTTCCCTCTGCCGGCCTGCCCATACAGCCAGAAAATTCGTGGAGCATCTTCATTGCTGTTGTGGATCCAACTGACGATCTCCGTGAGGATCTCAGTTCTGGTGCCATCTAGGCAGCTCTTCATCTTATTGACACCCGCACCTCCTGCATAGGCCATGCCTTCCAGATTCATCTCTCTCAGATCCCCACGTACGAGACCCAGATCCCCGCGTACGAGGTCCAGTTCACCGCGCGCGCGCTTCAGACCTTCAAGTACGTGGTGCACGTTGATATGAATATCCCGGATCGCAAGGTCCCGGTGCTGTTGCATCAAGGAAGTTCAGCAACTTGACGTAACCATCGGTCGTGGTCTGCGTCTCCGAAATTATGTTCTTTCCTAGTCTCTTCCCTGAGAAGAATTCGAATCAGGCTTGCGATAAAAGGTGCAACCAACGTACAGAAATTTTTCGTCTCCGAGTAACCCTTCACAAATCGGACCGCATCGCTAATCACCTGTGCAATCTTCCCCAAAGTTTCCTTCATACTATCAATTTTTCGAATGGTATCGTCTTCCAGAAGAAATCCATAGACTGTTTTAACTGTATCCAGGATGTCGGACACATCTCTGTCCAGGTTAACTTGATTGAGAAGTGACTACAGAGGGACGCGTGAGGCACGCAGCACATACAGCCGCGCGTAAACACGTACCTGAGCAGCAGGCGGTTAAGATTCCCAGTGCAATCTAGGCATAGGGGTGAACCTGCACCCTTATATCAGAACTCGTGATTAGATGTAGGGCAATGAGCGTACATTGGCGATACTAGTAACGACGGAATTAAAGGCTTTGAGAGGCTGGAGGTATGTGTTACTGAAGTTTTGGATGCTGGTAGCCGCAGCGTCGGCCTGTGCGACAAGCTCCATGGCTAATTGGCCAGTGCCTGAGATGGGCGTCATGCAATCCAGGGCCTGTTGAGCAGCGTCGACTTCACTGCCTACCAATGCCGAGACCGGATCAAGCGCGGTACTGGCGCCACTGGCGGGATCAACAGCACCTTCGCTGGCGTTGCCTAATGGCCCGACTATAGTATCGACAGCATGCGCAGCAGTCATGGGCCCTGTTTCCGAGCCGTGGGTTGGCCTTTGAATCTATCGAACACAGTTGTTACTCAAGGTCATCGCAATAATGAGATGAGGTAGATCACACACATCCTGAGTTGGGGCCACTTGGGTTTGTTCTGGTTGCTCCTGAGCACCCCCACCGGCGCCCGTGTTCAGCAGTCTGTGCTGCGATGGGGCCTTCGTTCGACTGGCGAAAGATGCGCCTCATCCTTGAAAGCGACATCCGGGAGACACTGCCCGAAGTTGCAGCGTTCGAGGCTACACCACCTTCTGACTGTTTCTTGATGAATGAGTAACTACAATTGCCTGCAGGCAAATGAACTTCTTACAGAAACAGAATTGGATGCAGAGCCAGACTGCTTTCTGGATCTAAAGATGCGACGAGCCATTGAGAAATCAGTATGTATGTCGTTCAGACTTTTCTGGATAGCGTTGACGTTGAGGAAAGGGCTTGAAGTTGCAGTAGGCGCTGAAATGCTGTAGACACGTTGCAAACTGCTGCGTTTTGAGGAAGACCAGCTGCAGGATAGCCAACTCAAGTACTCACGTACTAACTCACACCCCAGTCATGACCCTGTCCTCTCGAGTAGTTATAATACGTAGAATATCGGACTATCAGGACCGCGGGGACCGGGCTTAACAAGTGATGTGGATGTTAACATTGCGATGGATGTGTCGGTGACAGGTGTAAATGTAAATGGCAACAAGTGAAAATGGACAGACAAAAACCAGAGCACGGCATACGGAAAAGGATCAACTGCGGATATGTTAGTGCTAGGCAACTGGCATGGGGATTATGGGGGATCGAGTCAGTGGGCCTACAGTTCTCGCGACACGTGGGGAGGCCAATCAGGTGGCAGCGTTGATGCTCACGACTCGCGAACACGCGGTAACTGCCATTGGCGGTGGCGCCACAGGTCAAACGGCCGCCTCTGCGTCCTGGTCCGATTCCAGCTGTTGTTGACGTCGAGGATGGCGAGGGCCACGCTTGATGACGCACCATGACCTTCGCGGACCGCCCAGTATCACATGGAAAAGTTGTGTGTCACCGCGGCGCGTGGCATGGCGGTGAGCCCAGACAGAGGCCACCTCGTCCCCTTCGCAGCTGGCATGCCATGTCACTGGGAGAGAGATCAGATACCTGGCAGCCTATCGGGGAATATGCACAGCCCACTTGATTGAGGTTGGCGCTGCGACGGGGAGGGGGAGTATATTTGGTAATCCAAGGCATCATGAACTTCTCCACAATTTTGACTCGCCTGACTCTTATTCTTAGAAGACCTACAAATTCGCCCCCACGGCCTTGGCAGATGCAACCACATCCTTCAGCTTTACTTCTCCTTCATCATTCAGGATATCAAAAGGCTGTCTGTCTGCGGCGCGACGTCGTCGAGGAAGCAGATATCCGCCGGAATGAGGTGTGGCTTGAAGGCTCGAGTCTTAGGGGTGAAAGTGTAAACACAGTATTAGATTCCGAAGGAGCTGATGCCAATAAGCTCTGACACAGGAATGGAACCAGGTGCGATTTGACAGAAGATGCAGGCTCAAGCTCGGGTGGATGGGTTGACGAGAGAACGATTCGTTTCGACCGCGACGAACAGCATGGACACATACCTTCTCTGAATGATGTAATTGACCGTGAAGTCGTCAGATCCTGTGACATGCTTGAACTGCCTGAGGTGTTATTTGGTAGTGCTCTGAAGGTGGGAATATCTCGAAGAGTTCAACCTGTTCCGACCTTCGGATAGGAGGGGGTTGAAGGGTCCACACCAATTACTGTCTTCTGAGGAGAAGCGATCAACAGGCGAGATCCTACGACAGTGCTGCTTGAAGTTGAGAACAGCACTTCATCACATAGTTTCCCACGGGACCCATAACTTGAAGTATGTATGGGCAGGTTGCGTTCAGAACAGTACTGCAGCAGCCCGCTCGTAAAGGTTCAGCCAACACTAACCACTTGTCTAGTCAGAACTATTTCATTCCCGCAGGTACCCACTCCCCCTAGGTTGCGCTGAGCGAGAACACCTGAGAGCCTTAAATAAAAGTGTTCAACCCTATTCCTCATACATAAGTATACATATGTATTAATTCTTCCCTGTGTGGGTAGCCTGCAATACACAGGGACGAGAGCGTATATTTGAGACAGACAAATCAACAAACATTATGACAACATCGAAAGCCATGAGAAGACGGAAATAACCATACATACACAACGAGTGCTGCGGCAAAGCATCAGTGTAGAAAAGATCACCAGTTGGGACAGCCGATGGTGGCCCGCCCAAGGACAACACTCGAGAAGAATTATATTGGAATGAAAAGTAGAAAGACCTTTTCTTTTTCCATCTCAGTACTGGACTGATCAAAATTGCTGTGATTCGAACAACGCGTAGTCATTCGCCGAGTATCCATTGCTATCATATTGGTTCATCATCCAGTTGAACCCTGTTCCACGTTCAAGGAGGGGATTGATGCGGTACAGAAGAGGAAAAAATGGAGCGCAAAGTGGTAGTCGTCAGCAAACGCATACCGGGGGTCATCCACACGAGCGAAGCTCACCTGGCACCTGCCATTCCGGATTGGTCACGAACTGCATCGATTGCAACATCTCCGCGTCGATGGGCATCGGGCTTTGGAAGAAATCTGACGAGCTGATCCCACCTTCACCACCCGGGTTTTGACTTCCTTCAAACAGCATTGATGTCAACGCCGTGTTTTGATATGGATAGAGCTGCTGTTGGTGCGCGGTGTTGCGCAAGGCCGATGAGGGCGATTGAGACGACGGGGAAGGCGACTCAGAGAATCGCGAGCTCCCCGGAGAAGTGGTCGGGCCGCTTGTTGTTGTGGTTGCCGATGAAGGGACAGGCCCCACGCTCGAGGTGTACCCCGGACTCGAACTCGAAGCCAAGCCAAAGCTCAGGTTCGGACTTGATCCCATGGCACCAGTTCCCTGAGGCAGGGATGTAGTCATTGCCGTCCTTCACTTTTCCTCTTGCCTTCGTGCTGGGCCTCTTGGTAAGAGTTGCACCGCTCGTCGAAGTATTGACACTGTTGCCGTCTCCAGCTCCAGAGGGTGCATCCACAGCCATGTTCGTCAACAATCCAGCCAGGAACCGGGAGTACAACATCGGTGCATGTCTTTCATCGAATAGCCACCTCGGGGGAACGAAGCAGATCCACAGCTTCTTGCACAAGAACGCGTATATCCTTCCGTCTTCCCGCAGGGAAATAATGTGCGTACTTGGGTTGGAGAAGCTAATAGTAAAAAGAAAAAAACAGCTTAAGGCCCAGAAGATGAGTTCGGAAGCCACGCTTACCTTAATGAGGAAAGCTCCTGCGAACGTCACAAATACGAATTGTCCTTCAGGTGCATGTCGGAGATAGACTTCTGTTCACGCGAATGATAGGTCGGCTTGAGTGTCTGAAAGACAGAAGACCTGACACTTACTTTGCTCGGAAGTAACAAACAATCGGCGCACAAATGCATTGACTACATCCGACGCGGCTTCCAAGCACTACCCCCATGCCCAGGTCACACAACACCACGCGAAAAACCGTCATTTCAAAAGCACATCCACAAATCCAAGACAGACTCACCCTCAATAAGAACGAATTCTCGCCTATCTCTTCTTCCTTCGCGTATCTAAGTCCAGCTGAGAGTGCCACCAGCCGCTGGTATGCAAAAGCCATCTTGAGCAACTGAGATCGGAACCACGACTCCGAGCTCTCCCTATCGAATTCATCCAAGAGCGGAAACCATTCCTCTCCGAAATGACGAAGTTTGTCGTCTGTCTCGCTTGCGATCTGCGTGAAATTTGCGCTCTGGTAGAGATGAGTTGTTTTGTGAGTTTGTGATCCGTAATGCAGATATGGGTGAGTGGGACGAACGACAACTGCCTACCTTGTTCAATCCCATTGGATGGGTTGGGTCACTATATATCTTCGCCATGAAATCCGCCATTAACCTCAGCTCCATGTTATATATGCATGTTTGGACATCAAATCCCCTGAGATTATACGGCGACGATTGCCACCACATATCACAGTGTCGAGCGACGTAGTCCGAATTCGGGATGATCGCCCGCTTGCCATACTGAGTACCCGTGGACCGATCCAAGTTAAAACAATTCAACCAGATCCGTGTACGACTGAGGAGACGACGTGCGTGATGTTCGTTAAGGGGTTTTGTAGTCACGGGGCGATTCAGGTGTATGTCCTGAGCAATTCTATTTCGGGTGTTTAGTCTGTTGCAAACCGTAGGCCCGTAAGCAAACCTACCGGATGGCAACGCCAAGATATATCCATCCCCGATCTTCTTCCCAATGTTTCGAAGGCACCGGGTATAACTGCATGATCATGTACGCAGCACACATCTCCTCATTTTTCGGGCCTGATATGAGTGCCGTGCCAGCTGCAAGTTGAGCATACTGCATCAATTGTCCATAAAGCTCTGGTCTCTTCGTGTCGAATCGTGACGCAGTCGCACACACTACATTACTGTCAGTCACTTCCGCAACTAGGCAATCATTGAGGTTCCCTACCGACAGTGAAGAGGAAGGGACTGTGCATGGCGACATACTGAGGGGTATGAAGGTAACGGTCTAGTAATGATACGGACGGGTTCATCTTCTGAAAGTATCTGAAATAACGCTAAGCGAGAATATAGTCATGTGTGCAATGGAACTCACGTATCAAAAAATGCGTCCGCATCGTGCACTGTAATAATGCCGCGGGCCAGGATGTGAGGAAGTCGCACGTTATGGGAAAGTTCACTTGTACGTATAGGGTCTGGGCCAGGGCCTACGGTATTATTGTCAACTCATAACATCGGCGTGAGAACAGGAAAAACGGACTAGGCCTGAAGAAATCTGCATTCGCAACTCCCACTGCATCGGAAGACTCGGGTTCCGCGCTCTTCTGTCTAGCACCTGCCTTGATCGACATACGAGCCATAAGGCCGTAAGGGGCTTCTTCATTAGGGATGAGTTGTGGAGCAGATACATCCTTCTTTTTGATGGAGTGTGCGGGTGACCCCCCATCTTTAGGCCAATCGTCTTCCGCGGTGTCATATTCGGAATCGTTTGGAAAATCTTCGTCATCTTCGCCATCGGTGGAAGCGTGGCCATTGCCTCGATGTATAATAGTAGGGCTAGGAGCAGGTATCAGCCCACCAAAAGTCCGCAATGATTCTCTAGCCTTTGAAATCCAGTCTTGTACTTCTTGTTTCGGTACGACGTCCACCGCATTGGTGTCTATTGCCGTAGCAGGAGGTGATTGTGACTGCGAAGGGCTGACCACCGCTTGAGAATTACCTGCGGATTGATTTGATCGCTCCAGTTTTGCCATAAGTTCTACAATTTGGGAAGCTTGTTCGCGAATTTGCTTGAGCAATACCTCTCGTTTACTATACAACCGTCGTAATCAACCTACGACACGATTGGAAAACTGTTACACGCACGGAGGACGGCGACGAGGTTTTCGGTCCGGTATGACACATTCCATATTGGCTTGCGCGCAACGCTTGCAAGTCACGTCGTTATCTCCAACAAATTCACATCGGACCTAAGAAAGCAATTGTAAACACCGGAGCTCCAGGCTTGCTTGCAAATTACCTTCAAGCCCCTGCAGCGGCTGCACGCACTATTCCTAATGCATCCGACGTCTGTGAGTTACGTGATGCGTCGATTACCAAAAATACTTACGGCTTTTGTTTGGCAGAGTTCTCATGTTCATTAGAGGAATCGGCACCATCATCATCGTCATCTGCTGGTCTTGGCCGTTTGCTTGGTTGAGTTGTGCCTTTGGCCCCAAACAAACGAGCCCGCAAGTCGGACTGACGATGCGGGAGTGGCTGCGAAAGTGGGAACTGCATAGGGCCAGGAGGCATGTACGTCGGGGTTGATTCGTTCACGGTGACTGGAGGATGCATAGATGCATTGCCATGAGGGAGGTTAGATGAGTTGAAATCGGCAGGATACTGAGGTCGATATGGCGATTGATCAGTGGCAGGACTGCCTCGAGAGAATGTGGGAGATGATTGCGTTTGGGCAGGTGAAGACCCAAAGGTCGAGGAAGCCGCATCCCACAGCGTAGTATTGAGATCTGGGATTGAAAGTGGAAGGTATTGGCTGCGCGAAGGCAGAGGTAGAGGGTTTCATCATCTGATGTTGAGAATAAGATGGATGTCCGGCGGTATGTGGTAGAGTGCCATTGTAAGGTCTCTGAGAGGGCGCCGATAGCAACGGGATCATGTCCCGAGAGGCTGGCTGAGACTGCAACAGATAAGTGCACTCCTCTTCCAGCTGAAGCGCAGAATTAAAATGAGGTTGCGACCAACCCTCGGCCGTGACTCTGTCCTGCCGCGAATAAGATGCCATATGAGGGTTTGGGAGAGAAGAGTAGTGCGTTCTGGTGTCACCGGAAGGAAGGCGCCTTGAGTGAGCTTTGCGGGGGACCGTAGTGAGTATCCGGACTGCGATCTTTGCCTTTTTATGCCCTGTCCCCAGCAGATAACGTAGCACCAGCGCTAATCGGGATACCGAGCTGACGTCGGTGTGTGTCCTGCGGTGCAGTACCTTTACAGGCTGGCTGTGTGCCCGCCTCGTCGCCCATGCGTCCGTGGTCACGTGGCCATTCATGATCGCGTGGCGGTGTAGGACGGAAGCATCTTGCAGGCTGCAGCGTGGCTCATCATCGCAATACCAAGTCACGTCATCTTCAACTCTTTTCGAATTTTCGAAGTTCACCTTCTTCTCAACATCAAGGCAAAAACGTTTATTTCTTGGGCAGTGCAATACACTGGTTCAGACCTCATGTTCGTCTGACCCGGGTCCTCATCGGAGCCTTCAAGCCGGATACATTTCGATGGCTACCCTTAGGACCGTCTTCCGGATGCTGGTAGACGACCAAATGCACCTAGTTTCACCACCTAATCATATGTTTTCTCTCCTTGCGGCGTGACGCCGTCACCTGCATACTACGCACTTCCCCTTTCGCACCCTCGTGCCCTGATACAATCCCAGATATGCGGCTTATCGCGCTCGGGTCAGCCACTTGGAAGGTAGCGTTTTCAATTCGTGTGTAAATAGTTGCCGCCACAGCGAAAACTATTCACCTATCATGTTCGTCATGTAGAAGTGCCCGCACTTTAGGTGAGTAATTGTCCGTTCAAATTCACTTTTAATCCAGAGGCACGTCTTGGACACACGGCTAGTACCTAGGAGCCTTTCGTTTCTGTGTTTTAAGAGAATTCCCGTTACACTCTCGCGGAATAATGACAACGCTCTTGCGACAAGTTCTCCTCAAGACCTTCCCCTCACTTTTCATATGTCCCAGGACTCCCACAGGTCACTGCAGTTTCTTTGTTCTTTCTCAAGTAATTGGTTGGGTCCCATTGGGCTTGACAGTCACCACCGGTAGACAGATAGACATCGTTCCCGGTATCAGGTGTGGCGTCTCCCTTCACGAACAAAGGTCCTTATCGTACTGTGACCCGGTGTGCCTTCATAATCGCCATTCATCACTGAATTTTTCTTTTTGAAGCATTTCAAAACATATTTCACTATCAACATGGCCTTCCCGTAGTGTCACTCATTGTCCATCTGCAGGCATTCGGAGCCTTGCTGACTTGCAAGTCTGTTACAGCTTGGAAATATGGTTTGCTCACTTTTTCCTTTGAGAACTACCGTCAACAAACTAATTATTCTAATTGGCCTCGGGAAGTAGATAGTTGAACTCGACTTTACTGGCTCTTAATAGAACCCTCACCTCCCAAAGTGGGGTCGTATTGATTCCACGAGGCAAGATGAAAAGGACAGAGTCCCATGTTAAGGAGGAACGTTGTTATCACATCAGGTGGCGTTCGGTTATCACTTCACCTTTTCCCATGAGGAATATAATTTTATCGCCGAGCTGCCAACTAATCTACACAGGGCATCTACGACCGCAGTCGACCGCCATCGTCTATTGCACACGAGGTCCATTCGCGACCGAAACAAATCTCATCGCGACATAACTGCCTAGTGGAACGTCTAACTACCCACACTAAACGATTATCAAATTCATCGTGAGTGCTGATAGGAAAATGTCAAATCCAACTGTACCTTTCCAATGCCATCCCAGCTATCTGAGTGTGAGCTAGCTGAATATTCGCATACACAAAAGCTTTTTCATATGAAAATCTCGTTTTTTTTTTCCACTGCGAACCGTGTAGATATTTAATAAGCCGGTGTGTCCAATACTTGATGGTTGGCACAAACGTTCCAGCTACAACGATGGATCGATTGGCTATCACTCTCTTACCATTTGCTAATTCCCCTCCTACTTGACCGGAACCATCAGTGGGCACCTTCCCAGCACCTACCCATCGTATTCCCAATGCTGACTCTGGCACCCCTGAAACCCTCGGGATCTCATTAATCTCTTTCCTGTAGACCTGACTGCTCGCCCAGCTCCTACCGCCTAGCATCGCATAACCCGGGTAAGACGGACACGTTGATGTTGAAGCTCCTCACAATACAAAATTTAGTATTTGCCCGGTTGACTTAGACGCGAGTCCAGTGGTGTCGGGAAGTCAGACTGGGCCACACCCCCGGTCCCGCCGGGAACGTGTCGTATACATGTGATCTCCATCCTCTGTATCCACTGCGCTGATAGTCTGTGTAAGCAGATAAATTATATTGAGTCGTCTCTAGTTGCGAGACGGTAATTGGCATTGCGACAACTGACATAGTAAGGTACATATGGGGCCATACTCTCTCTACGGACTTGTGGGGTGCATTTTTCACATTCTTTTTGGCCTTGGAAACTCACCTAGACCCACTGCTGGCTTTCAAATATGTACAGGAAGGCGGCACGGCACTAGCGGGACGTACAGAGCACGGAGCACCCACGAATCCTTCGCCTCAACTGGTCATCCCGTACCGAACAGCTTCTCGCCCATATTGTATCTTTCGAGTGCGGATGGGCCGTGCACGGACGATGACGGGTCTGCATACGTCAGGTATACAGGAGGCAATGTCAGCCGCGGTCTACCCCCGCCGTACAGCCACCAAGTCGTGTTTCGAAAAAGAAAACAAAAAGTGGCACTGCGATACACCATTACACGTTTTCTGTAAACCTAACTCCATTCCACTCTACATACACGTGGTTATTTCAAAAACTTCGTCACTGATCTATCATCATCAGCATGCGAAACGCTTCTAGGTCGCACTGCCAAAGATCTGGTATCGTCGACAAATGCTGGGTCCTATTTCATCGTATTGTGCTTTGGTGTGACAGAAGTTGTAGAATTCAGGCTAAGCAAAATATGGCATGAGTGGGTCACAGTCACGGCTGTTTAAACCAGAAGTAAAACAAGGGCTCTCACCAGCGAAGCCAAAAGTGAACCACCGAACCATACAGCATACCTTGCATTCAAGTTCAGTCTCGGTAATTCCAGAGGAATGAAAGAACAATGATCCTTACCGCTGACGCTTATGCGAGATCACTTCGACCTCTACGCCTGAAGACTAAATAGGCAGGTCAGAATGTGGCTGGGGGTGGGTGAGACATTACATCACAGACTTTTTGGGTACTGCGGCTGGAAATCACACTGGCCTCAAGCCGGCGATCTACAAGTTGCCTCAAATCCCGTTTCAAACGTTGCCCAAAGTGCTGGAACATGGTGGACCCGCCGGACAATACGATGTTCTATTTGATCAAGACACGTAAGCGGGTATCAGAGGTGCCACGTTCCGGACTTACCTTGTACAGACCACGGCGTACATCTATGGGAGAAGACTGTATGACATCGTCGACAATTTCCGGTAGAGGTGTCAAGAAATCGGACGAGTAGATTTCGGGATTGAAGAAGATCTCCGGTGCAAGGAACCGTTCATAGCCGATATCGAGAGCGTATTTCTGTGACAACATGAACTGTGCACCAACACAAAAAGGGAGAGCAGAAGGACGCTTACCCTTCTCGTCACGCTGGATTCTCCATCATATCTCTCAAAGTACTTGTATGGCTCCACATCGTACTTCCTAAATTCCTTCACTATATCCTGGCAGACATAGCTGTAATCTTCCTTGACTTTAGATGCGACCTTCAATTGGTCCTCAGGTGGGACAGTTGTCATTTCACCCCGCTCTCGCATGAGATTGAGGACGAACTGCGTGATATCGCGACCGGCGATTGGGATATGTTTTATCGCGCTTCCGATTACGTAGCCCTCCGCACAGGGTATAACATGCGTAACACCGTCACCAGAATCAATGACCGTGCCTGTCAGTGTGCGGTCCGTCACGCGATTCGACGACCATGAAGCGGCAAGTGCAAGTACGGCTTGAACGGCGATGTAAAGACCCTTGATGTTAAAGGACTCGAAGAATATCTCTGCGGTCTGTTCTCTGTTCTCGGGTGGGTTGAGCGGAGGTTCGGTCTGTTCCAATTATCAGTTACATGACAAAACCTCGTCATCATCAATACACTTCAAAAATAAAGGTGACTAACCAAGAGGAAATAGTGATCCTCGGGTTCAGCACGCAGATACTTGAAGATCGTCTGTTCCCAATACCTCTCCATATGATCCCAATTCTCAATCATCCCGTGTCGAATCGGATAGTGCACGCCATAACCAGGCGTCTTGGAGTTCGCGAGCGCCTCGTCGCCGATAAAGAAGTCAAGGTCTTCAATACCGCGTTTTGAGGCGAGGTTGCCGGGTTTAGCAGGGATAGGAGGGCCTCCGCGTGCGGACTGCGCAGTGGGTCCGCCGCGAGTCGCGATCGCTGTTGGGAAGACACTTCACGAGGAAACGGAGGATGGTTATAGTTACAAGATAATTGAGATCGGCTGCGACCGGGGTAAGAACGGTGCACTTACAAGGACGGATCGGAATTGCCTGCGAAGCTGAGTGGAGGATGTCAAGACGTCGTCGTGCTATCATGGCAGAGGTTGTAATAGTTACCCAATTTTGGAGAATCCGGTCCCATTGTCGCAGATAATGGGTGCAAGTAGCGACATTATGAACTCCTTATTGATTCACGAGCCTTGCCAATGCCGCTGATGGGTACTGCGACACTTAAGATGATTTGGCTCTGTTTGGCAAAGGCTTTCACTCTTAACAACGCCAAACACTTCCCTGTAGCATGGTAATAGCGAATGACATTTATGGATTTGGTCTCAGCTTCACCCGGAAAGTGTTATCTAGGAGCGATCATTCTCTTTCGACCCAGTTTATGCCTGCACTCCGTCAATCGTCCTCCATCAGTGGACCATACGCAGGGCTCCGCTACGGGAGCTCCTTTGCGCTATCGAGAAGGAAACGAAACACTTGCGCGGTGAAGAGGAATGTCCACAATGGCCCACGTAACACTTCTTTTGTTCCTTGTCTCGCAAGTTCCTCTTCTGCTGTCCAATTAATTACGAGGGTCGCTAGGGGACTATGAGACCGACCACATGGCCACAGGCCAATCAGCCCGTTGTTCCGTTCTGTGTACATACGTTCTGCTTCTCGCCTAGAATGAATTCACGACATCACGGGGCAGAGAACAGCGGCGGTACGCCGTTGTGTACGCCATGTGCTTGAGCGTTGTGTGGACCAGCTGTTGTCATATTCCATCAGAGTGTGGCGTGAGTCAAGTTTCCAGGAACGCACTCGACGAGGACGGTTGACCTCCGCGTCATGTGTGCTGTCAATATGTCGATCATGGGTATGCGTCGTACCCCGTCTGAAGTATGTAAATGGTCTCCCGTCCCCTGGCTGAAGTGTGTACGACTAGTGAGGGCCGGTCATAGCAAAGAGATAAGATAAGATATTTCCATCCAATTCACGCCATGGTAACAGTTTCGGCCATTTGTTTGATGTGTTCGCAGGCGCTTTTTCGTCGACCGGGTATTCGTTTCAGCGGAGCCAATAGTGCTCCACAGTCAATCAAGTTGCACGGGCTGGTCCGTGTTTGCCTCTTATCACTGCTACCCCACCATTCCCGTACCTCTTGTCGTGGGCGAAAGCATCCAACTGAGGCGCACCTCCATTCCTTTTTTTTTTTTCGTCTCCCTTTCATTGGTATTGACACTCCTTTTTGACACTCCAAGGCCCATCCCTCGGTTCTGAGAAGTCCGTGACGACAGCCAAGCCAACTCGCTCGTTCAGGATCGTAGACTTTCCCTCCACAATGTCCCCTATATTGGCCGCTCGTGACGTCAACTCTTCTTCGGCTGGTATGAGCAAAGGACTGTACATTGCAGGCTTCACACTCGTAGGACTCCTCATCGCCGGGCTGTCGCTATGGTTGCTGGTTCGTTGCTACAAGAAACGAATGGGCGAAAAACGAAACGACGAGCGCAGTGCTGCATTCCTTCATGTGAAGGGAATCAGGAAAGCTGGGGACATCGTCCCCACTGCGCGAGGGTTAGTCCCCATAATCATTTTCTTATCTGCGCAATCGTCTTACTAAATGCCTATTAGTAGGATACCCAACGCTTTCAGCAGGGAGAACATGACGGCCTCCGTCGTTCTCCCGGACAGAGTCCTCATGCGGCAAGCCTACCCTGCAAGCCAAACTTCCACTCCCGCTTCCTTCGTACAGTCGCAAGCTACCACCACCTTTGATCCCCCCCTACAAGTGCCTATATCCCCTCCAAACCCTGCCCACTTCCGACTTAGCCATGTATCCACTCACTCTGCCCATTCCCCCATTGCTCACCCTTCGTTCGTGCAATCGCGCACATCTTCTTTCAGCGCCGGCACTGCCGCATCAGCCTCCCCACACGCCCGACCTGTCCGTCAACTCTTCGATCCTGTCCTATCTGACGAACTCCCCTTAACGCAATTGGGCGAATATCTCGCTATTTTTGAATCCTTCGACGACGGCTGGTGTCTCGTCGTTAGGGATAATTCTCGTCCGCGCCGATCATCCATCACTTCCACGATCATTGGCTTCCGCGGCAGGAACTCTAATGCATTGAATGCAGATACTGCTGAAGGAACCCAACAAGATATAGGGTTGGTCCCTGCATGGGTGTTTGTTAAACCTATGAAAGGCCTCACCGTCGAACGGCCTATGCGCGTCTCAAGTGTGGATGCACTCAAGCTTGGTCTGGGTGGCGCAGGAGCCTTCAAGAGATACGATGATCTCCTGGTCAAATTTCGCATAGAGTGCGATCTTACATGAAAACTTTCGCTGTCGACCCACGGTTGTTATGCCTTCCGTTGTTCTCTTCGTATCATATGTCACTGTGTCCCTTGCCGTGTCACCCCGTTATTCGGAAACACCAGTCTGTTTTCGCATAAGCTGAGTTCCGGCATATATTGTTCTTCTATTTCGCCCATGCTGTGCAAGTATCAATCATTCTTCCGCTCCCCTTGCTGTGCAAGAAAATTTGAAATATGATGCCGACCAAGCTCGTCGTCACGCGTCATGCTTCTATCGATCACCTGCGATTATTTGTTGTGCGTTGTTGTACCTGTTCTCGTAGTTTTTTTTGCAGTGATACCTGTACGGAATTGTAACGCCATACCCTCCACACCCACAACTTGTTACAAATCTGCCGAGGCTTCTTAATCATCGCGCCCACCGTACGTTTTTTGTTTAGTTTCCAGCGCTATTGGGCGGCGGTTGCACTCGTGCCGTTCTCCCGAAAAGATGGAGTGCATTGAGTTTGAGAATGTAGGAAGAGAGGTAGGTGTCAGTGAGGACGTCCTAATAATGGAACGACCCCTATTAGAGATACCACCCAAATTCCAATCGTCATGCTTCCACCCGGATTCAAGATACGAGAGCATCCATTCAACGCGCGATTGACTCAGGACAAGACTGCTCCAGTTGCGGGAGTTCTATTATGATTCCTCAGTGGCTTTTGTTCGCGGCATACTTAACGAGTCAAGTCAAGTCTAACGAAGACGTCGAGCTAACTACTAATCTCCCTCGCGCAGAACATCCAACAACTATTCCGAAGACGTCACGGCGTCCTCCTTGATGTATGTATCGTTGCACACTGATTATATACAGGGCAAGCGCAATCTAGCATACCCAGCATTGTTTTCTTCGTCATTCCGTCGATGGAGTGTAGTATGTGTCAACGAGAATGTAAGGCATCAACGTATGCCCGAATCGTGCGCCAGCCTTAATAGCGTCTATCGCACCATCCGAATCGGCCGTCCCATTCTGTGGAATCAAGGAGATACCACACAAGCTCCAGATGTTCGGAGTGTCGACCCGATGGCGACGCAAATCAGAACCGGGGGGCGGGCCGTAGCATCAAGTCCAACGCACACACGGATATGCCTTAGTTATCTGAGCGCGTCCTTTGTTTCGTTGACATACTCCTGTGTTCTATGGGTACTGGTGGGTGCTCTACATAACACTAAGAACGCCTCATGTTTCTGTGCATTCTTTTGTTCTGCTGACGTGCCGTGCAGTGTATACAGGCAGTCCACATAACTTACGAAAGAACGCACCGATTGCGACTTCTTGATATGTGCGAGAATTCCTTTTGTTCCGCTAAAGTTGGAGAGAACCTGCAGATTGTGTGCGCCTCCCCTTGCTGCACAAGAAAATTTAGAATGTGATGCCGAGCACCCGATTGTTTATTGTCCGTTGAATTATACTTGTTCTGGTAGTCTTTCGCAGTGATACCTGCACGGAATTGTGACGCCATATCCTCCACACCCACATCCCGTCTCGTTGTTACAAATCCGCCGAGGCTTCTTATCATCGCGCCCACCGCGCGTTTGTTTTCAGCGCTGTTGAGAAGCGGTTGCACACAAGTTGTTCTCCCGAAAAGATGGAGTACATCGAGTATGAGAATGTAGAAAGAGGGGTACAGTAGGTGTCAGTGGGGACCTCATGGGAGCTGTCTTCAGTATACTAGAGCATCACGAGATCGCCGGCGGCTACAATTTATGCCGTGACCTTCAGTGAGGATTCCACGCACGATTGACTCGGAAAAAGACTTGGAGAAGGACTTGATCCACTGTAGAATCCTTGGCTACCTCTTCCACTTGTCAGGGAGGTCTAACAATCAACGGCCAGCAATACAAACTGCTCCAGTTATGGGAATTCTATCGTCAGTACCTTTTGCTCGTAGCATACTTGACGAGTCCAGTCAAGTCTCACGAAGACGTCAGGCTAGCTACTAATTTCCCTTGTGAGCATCCAATAACTTTCCGAAGACGCCACGGCGTCCTCCTTGATGTAACATACTTGCATTTGTTGTCCCACACACCTTGTATACAGGGTGAGCACAATCTAGCACACCCAACACTGTGGCTCCTTCGTCTTTCCGTCGATGGAGTGTAGCGTATGTCGACGAGAATATAAGGCGTGAACGTATGCCTGAACCACACGCGAGTCTTGATAGCGTCGATCGCACCGTCCGAATTATGGCCGTCCGATTCTGTGGAGTTAAGGAGATACTGCAGGGATTCGAGATGTTCAGAGTGTCAACCCGATCGCGGCGCAAATTAGGACCGGGGGGCCGGCCTTAGCCTCAAGTCCAACAGCACACGAATATAGCTTCACGTATCTGAGAGCGTCCGTTTTTTTTTTCTTTCGTTGACACACTCCTATGTTCTGTGGGTACCAGTGGGTGCTCTGCATAACACTAAGAACGCCTCAAGTTTCTGTGCATCCTTTTGTTCTGCTGACGTGCAGTTAATAGTATAGGCAGTCTGCATAACTGCTGAATTCCTTTGTTCCGCTGAAGTTGGAGAGGACCTACAGATTGTGTGCGCCACCATCATTTCGTGTATGGCACTAGTAATAGGATCAGCTTGTCAATAACCGAGGAAATTGACAACAGGAATAACCATTACATCTCCGAGACGGACGAACAGGAGATGTACTTAACAGAGATGAGGATGAGCACGACTCTTGCCACTCAGTACTCAACGTTCAACGTTCAACCTCCAGGCTCCCATCACGATACAACGCTAGTGCCCATCTAATGCGAATCTTTAACTGCCAGTGACCATGGTTGATTCCGGTGGCGCAGCAATGGATGTTTCCACGCCACATGCTTAGGTAATCGTCATTCGACTCCAATCAGCCAACGCCTCGCTGCTGTCAGCAGACAGCTCGAAATCTACGGCACTCGGTGCGTTCGTCCACTTCCGTCCTCATCGAAATAAGCCTGATTCATGACACAAATCAAGTGTTAAAGATCTGATGCCTTGGGTCATGAGAGACGTCTGCGAAGCACAGCAATGCGAGGCAGACAACATGCTCGAGTACATATTGAGCCGAGTTTCAAACTCGCCAGGTGACCGTATCGACTTGGAGAAGCGTCCCATTTTAGACAAATGCATGAATGCAGTTCTGCCCATATGTAATCGGCGATCTCAAGGCAAGAAACTGGGAGTCCCGGCCTCGGAGATCAAGGCGACTCTCACACTGTAGTAAGTTTCGTGACTTGCATGCCGGTGTTGATGTCAGCGTTCTTTGCTAACGTCTTGTACCAGCGCGACGTATAAACTGGAGGATGACTTGTACCGGCCCTTCGTCGTGGCGTCCAACATTGCTCTCGCGCACCTGAAAGAGCTGAAGATCGATGGTATGCGTGTAAACGAAAGCGAGGAAGTACAGATGTTCTTTCAGCGCAACGATCCAAGGGTAATCCATCAAGATCACGCAGGGCATGAGTCCGCACGCAAACCAGATGTCATCGTTTGTCCATTCGCGAACGAGGCCGATTATTTTGTGGACGCTCGACTCAGCAGCTGGGACGAGCATGTATCGGCGGTAAACGAAGGTAAGACACTCGCAGCGCGCTCGTGGAACGATGTGCTCGGTGTCTTCGAGTTCAAGCGAGCCAAGTCGGGAATGAAGCCTCCTCCCGATGAATACTCCGTGTCAGAGTACCGAGCTTCCCAACCAAAGTTTTTGAGTATTGGCAAGGACGGAAATGAACTGGAAGAAACAGAGCCGCGAGTGGTTTCTGTTGCCGAGCGAGCGATAGTTTCAAAGCCGGTTGACGGTAAGTAATGGAACTACACTGTCCAGTCAGGTTTAACATGCAGCCAATAGTACGCAGATCACTTCGCAACAACACTTCGGGAAGCGCTGGAAAGGCATCCAGGAAACGCACGGTGGGGGCCGATTCTGAGCCTCGCTCGAGCAAGCGACTTAGGACGGATGAGCCCAGGGCGCACGTAACAATTCAGACAGCGCTGTACGCTGCTGAGATGCAGTCCGCCAACATTGCGGGGAAGCATACCCTCAATTTCATTGTCATAGGTGCGTATTTTTTCTCGCTAGTGAACGGATTGCGCTGGACACCTTTCAGGCGACGACATTTGGATTTGGTATTACGACCACCAAGGCCTCATCAGCGTGGCAGGGTTCAATTTTGTTCAAGATCTCCCTCGCTTTCTGGTGTTGTTATACGCTCTGCAGCGATTCAATTTGAAGGACTGGGGTCGAAACACAGACTTTAAACCGCGTCTCAAGATGGACGTCGTCGAGTCCTACACCCTCGAGGTCGATGGATGCAGACTGGAACTTTACGGGAAGGAAAAACCCCTCATGGGGCTGGCAGGGCGTGGGACTAATGTTATGGACGTCACCTGCGAAGGCTTAATGCCGGGCAATTCGAAGAAAAAGGCCGACGAGCTGGTGGCGAAAATTTACTGGGCGGAGGAGGCACGAGTCCTAGAGGAAGTTATTTTGCGCCGCGTCATGGCAATTGCGGATCCTACCGTCAGAGGACACGTGCCGGATTTGCGCTTCGCGAAGAGGTTTCCGGTTTCCACATCTACAATTAGGGAGGCTCTTGGCCTCGAGAACCCTGACAAAGGCAGCAGGACGCTCATCCTGCTCGTATCAAAGAAGCTTTCGCCAGTCTACAAGCTCCCAGGCGACGAAATGTTCGACGCATGGCGGCAGTGCGTTTTGTGTAAGCTCCGCTTTGTTTTTGCGGTGTCTTGGTTCTGACAGTCATTCTATTCTAGGTCACTATACTCTCTGGAGCAAGGGGATCCATCATCGTGACGTGAGCCACTCAAACCTGATGTACTATAGGGATGGCAGCAAGGTGATGGGCGTCTTAAACGATTACGACCTTTCGTCTTTAACAGATTTTGACAACCCGATGGGTGACGAGCGGACTGGAACAATGCCGTTCATGGCAATCGATCTCCTCGAGAAAGCGGGCCTAAATGGCAACGTGGAGCACCTATACCGCCATGATATGGAATCGTTCATCTACGTATTCATCTGGATTTCCCTGCAGTACAAGAACGGCATCTCGCTGAAGCCAGGACCCCTGGATTCATGGTTCACAACTGATGCCCATGGATGCATTAAAGAGAAGTTGTATTTCCTGTCTGCCCTTCCAGTGCCTGACAACACCAACAACGGCACTCTTGTGTTGACGCTCGCGGACTTCCTTTGTCAGAGACTCGGCACTCGTAGTCGTCTCGAGGGAGCTAAAAAAATTGCTCAATCACAGCTGGCAGATGCACGTTCTTCAGTTGCTGTTAAAGACGCTGCAAAGAACAAAATTGAGGCACTCGGATCTCAACTTCAGGAGGAAGCAGACGAGGAGGTGTATAAAGCATTTTTATCGCAGATTCCATCAGTAAATTGATAAATGCCAGGCTTCCCACCGTAACATAGAATTTGGCTGTATCACCATTGTTACCCTTATAAATGTATGCTGCATGTGCAAGACCTCAAGATATATGTGACTGTCAAATTGTCAACCAACCCCCGACACATCATGTGACTCATGTGATATGCCAGCGGCTTCCATGGTGAGCGACTCAAGCGAAGAAGATAGAAATATACAAGCGGTGCAGTGACGGTGCGGGCCCCATGCGGCAGGTAGGTGACTCCAGGTCACGTGATCTTAGCGCCAACCCGACGGGTGCCGAGGGCTCCCGAACGAGGCGGGGGCACATGACCTTAACCCTAACCCTAACCCAGCCTCCTCGCCCGAATAGGAATGGGAAGTGGCGGCGTGGAACGTTGGTGAGTGTGGGCTAGTGTTGCCGACGAAGCGAGGTGACTTTGAGGTGGAGCTCGCTTCGGTTCGACATTTGACTAGTTCAGGCGTGCTCAAGGCACGCTCAATTGCGGATGTCGTCCGAAAAGTCGTCGAGTTTGTCAAACTTATATTGAGGTTTCTGTCGCTCGAAGCGAGACGGGCGGGGCTATGTGAGTGCATGTGAGGTGGACGTTTACTGCTAACTAGTGAGCCTGCGATCTTGGACGCAGTCAACAGGGCCTTCGTAGTGATCACGTGAACATTATGTAATCTAAGACGCGTTCAGACTTAGATTACTTCTCCTGTCTCTCGCCTCTCTCGTCTTCGACCTTCGTCGTCTCTCATCCAAGCATTCATCGTTCTCGCGCATATACTCCTCAGTTCTTCGCTCTACATCATGTCTGGCCCCCCTGCTGGTATCCCCTTCATTCCCGCAGTCCCAGCTGGCCTTGGCATACAGTCCGCTCCCGCTGCTCCCACCTCTGCTCCGGTAGCCGCAGTTGTTCCAATCTCATCTACCCCTGCCAACCCCACCATTTCAGTCCCCGCTCCCCCTGTTTTGTCCGCTAATACCACTCAGCCCCCACCTTCTTCGGTGGTTATGCCCGCTAGCAATGCTGGTAACCCCTCCCAGCAAATTTTGGCTGCATATATGCTGCTTCCCCCCTCAGACCAGCTCGCGCTAGACTCTTTGCTTGAGAACCACCGCAACTCCCCAACCTCAACTCATTGGTCCAAGGTTCAACGTGCTCTCCTGTTTGATCTTTCGGACAATGCTCCCATTTTCTCTCTGGACGGCATGTGCCTTCCCATCCCCAAACTTATTAACAACCTCGCCGATGCCGGTTTCCATGTACCTTTAACCCTTTTTTCCTATGACGCTCTATATAAATTACAGAACCAACCCCTCGCCGTTAAAACAGTCAAGGTTCACCAGAACGGTCAGAACGTTCATATTCTTGACATCACCCAATTTCCTCCTGAAGAGGAGATGCTCCCTTTGGACTGGCATTCAGCCTGGGAGCGCTATATCGATTGGATCGGCACTTGAGAGGGTCTCATTGCAAAGCGCATGTGGTCCTGCCACTTTCGCTTTCTCGCGCGTATTCATAAGTTCCGCGAGCGCTTCCCAGCCATCCTTCAGTTCGACATGGACATTCGCTCTGCTGCAGCATCTGACCCTGACTTCTTCCTCACCACTGAGGAATACAAAAATAAATATCTCCACACACAAGTCGGTGTCCTCCAAGCCCCTCCTGCCCCCACTGTTCCTACAGACAAGTCTTCTCGTGGACACCGTTTTTCACCTTACGACTGCAAAGTTCGTAATGACTCCCCTGACGATTCCTTTTGGAACGGTCAGCGAAACTCTCCCACTTGCGTCATTTGCCTCAGATCAGGCCACAAATACTCATCCTGCAACGAAGAGACTACGCAGAAAGGTCAACAAACGTTTGTGAAATCTCGAGATGGAAAGCTTGTCCGTCGTGACAACAATTCCCCACTGTGTTTCTTCTATCAGCTTGCCAGGAAGCCCTGTCGCAACAACCATCCTGACCAACATCTCTGTGCCGCTTGTGGTTCCCGAGACCACGGCGCCTCTAATCACAAGTCGGCCTAAATCCCACACTCCCTTACCCTTTCTATGTCCAGCTGACATTTTTCCTCCTTGTTTCATCTTCTCTGGCTGTCCTCGCATTCTCTCATCTCCCTATGACTCGGATCCGGATTTCTCTCGCATCATCACACCCTATTCAGCACTTGCATTCAACTCCTTCCTCCATGCATGTAAATTATTTGATCAATATCCGGATTTGCCTTTCAAACTCACCCATGGCTTCCCCATTGGCAATCTGCCTCCCCTTACCCATTCTTACACCCCATTCAACCACCGTAATATCGCTGAATTTCATGACGCCATCCGCACTTATATTCATGAAGAGCTTTCTCTCGGTCGTTTCTCTGGACCCTTCTCTTCTGTCGAACTTTTTCACAAGATTGGTCCCTTTAGATCATCACCTTTCCAGATTGTCATCAAACCTGGTGTCGAAGGTTCTCCTTCTAAGATTCGTGTCTGTCGGAACCTTTCCCACAAAGGCACTCCTGGTCTTTCAGTCAATGACCAAATTGACCCAGATGAGTTTCCCACTAGATGGGGTTCAGCTGGACTTGCCGCTTCTCTGGTTAGTTTCACTCTCATTCCCCTCCTCTTCTCTCTTCGGAGTTCTGGGTGTGGATGCACTTTGCCTGAAGGATCGTCCCCTCTCTGGGTCCTTCCTGATGGTTTGAAGGCACACTTCCCCTCTGTATCTCTTCTTCTCTGGGCTGCCTTTCAATGACACATTCGTCATTCGCCCCCCACTTTCTATCGCTCCTCTCATTCATGATTCCCTGTTCTCATTCGTTCATTCAGATCGCTCGTGCCCCACCGGGCACACAAGCTGCTTCCCTTGACATTGAAGCCGCTTACCGTGGTATCCCTATTCTCCCCGATCATAAGCACTTCTTGGTTGTCATGTTCGACGATCAATTCTTTTTAGACCATGTTCTTCCTTTTGGACTTTCTCCTGCCTCCGGTCTCCAAGGTGAAGTCGCAGACGCAGTCGTAGATATTTGGGATGCTCACGGCGTGGGCCCGTCTATCAAATGGGTCGACGATTTCAACCTTTTTCGCTCTCCTTCTCCTTCCGGTCCCTTTCTAGGCATCTGTGATGGCGAAGTTTATCGCTACGATTATGACCTTGAACATGCCAAAGCCATTATCGCTCCCTTAGGCGTTCCTTGGCATAAAGAAAAAGGCCAGCCTTTTGGTGATACTGTAGAGTATCTCGGATTCCTATGGGACATCCCTCACAAATCAGTTACGCTCCTAGAGTCAAAGCGTCGCAAATACACCTTCCGCTTATCCACCTTTCTCTCTTCTCACAATTCTCGCATATTCAAGCGCGACGCTGAGAAGATAGCTGGTACTCTAAACCACATTTCCTTTGTCTTCCCTCATGCTCGCTCGTTCATCTCCCCTTTGTATCACTGGATCTCCGAATTCCCTGATGAGTTTAAACCTCACTTCATCCGCCCTTCAGTTGTTTCCGATCTTTCCTGGTGGCTCGATCTTCTTAGCTCCCCCCAACCCCCACGTTCAATTTCACCTTGTTCTTCTCCCTTGGATCTGCAAATTTGGGTCGACGCATCTACTGATTTTGGAATCGGTATCATCTTCGGGTGACTCGTGGATGGCCTGGCCCCTGGCTACTCATTGGCGAGACTCACACCGTGATATTGGTTGGCTTGAAGCTGTCGCTATCGAACTTGCCATCCAATTGGTAATTAACCGCGGCTTCTCCCACTCGGACATCTTAATACGCAGTGACAATCAAGGTGCAATTGCTGCTTTCGAAAAGGGTCATTGTCGCAATTACATGACCAATCTAGCTATCCGCCGCTTGGCTCTCTTGTCCCACGAGGCACAGCTTCACTTTCTTTTCTCTTATGTTCCATCTGCTGACAACTTGGCAGATCCGATTTCCCGCGGCATCCTTCCCTCTATTTCTACACGCATCCCTGACCCTCCTTCGCTCCACTCCTCCATCGCCTCCTCCTTTCAGCATGGTCCTCCCTTCTCCTCTTGAAGAGTTCCTTTCAGACGTCGACCTCGATGCTGCCGCCTCCGCCTTTTATGCTAACGCCGACTCCCTCTCTCATCGCACGGTTGCTTCCTCTTTAAGCACCATCCATTCCAAAACTCCCTGTCGACCTCGTCCTGGCTCCTCCATCCAACCCTCCCCATGGCGTCCACATGTTGTCGCCAGTGACCGTCTCATATGTTGGTCTTCCCCCCACAGTGCTGATTTCTTGTCCTCCCTCGAGAGCCTTTTTCCCCAACAATTGGTCTTCCGCCTTTTTCAAGTCATGCTCCAATCCTTAGACCATAGCACCCGTTCCAACTATGGAGCGGGTCTTCTCCGTTTTACTCAATTCTGTGACTTACTCGCTCTCCCGGAGGAGTCCCGCATGCCAGCCTCACCCGAGATCATTTCCCTCTTTTCCGCACATCATGCTGGACACGCCTTGGAAAAGACACTTAATAACTGGCTTGCTGGCCTCCATTTTTGGCATATTGTCAACGGCGCCCCTTGGTACGGAGATGACATGCTTCGCCATGTTCGCAGAGGCTTCACTAAACTTGTCCCCCCATCTTCCAAACGTGACAAACGCCCTCCTGTTACCATTGAGACTCTCTGCATCCTTCACGATCGTTTGGATCTGGCCAACACTTTTGATGCGTTTGTTTGGGCTCTTGCCTCGGTAGTGTTTTGGTCTTGCTGTCGCCTTGGCGAACTTCTCATTCCCTCCCAGAATGTTTTTGACCCATCTAAACATGTCTCCTGGCAAATCCTCCCTCTTTCCATCTCTTCGTTAGACAATGGTATGCATCACTCTACTTTCCACATCCCCTGGTCTAAGACCACCCTCTCTCTCGGCGCAGACATTTCTGTCACTTCTCGTGATCACCGCACCTGTCCCCTTCTAGCCTTATTGAACCATTGCACAGGCAGTCTCAGCATTCCATCGGACGCTCCTCTCTTCGCATTTCGTACGTCTTCCGGTTGGTCTCCCATGACCCGCGCCTGGTTTCTCAACCGTTGCAATCAGATTTGGGTTTCTGCCAGCTTCCCTGATATGCCTGGTCACGCCTTTTGCATCGGGGGAGCTACAGAACTCTTACTTCAAGGAGTGCCTCCTGACATGGTCACCACTCAAGGAAGATGGAAATCGCAGGCCTTTTTAGATTACTGGCGTCAAATCAATAGCATACTTCCTCTCTTCATTTCTTCATCTGCTGACTCCGCCCGTTTACTTTCTCTCGATTCAATCATGGACAATTTCGCTTGTCGTACCAATCTCCGTACAGTACCTTCCCGTTCTTGATGCTCCCTGTTCCTAGTACCGTTGTTCTGTATATGTTTGCTAGGAATCCTATTCTGATCGCTCCTGTGCTTAACTCCAGTGTGTGGGGTGTCTCGAGGCCACTTCCATTGTGAGCTTAGCTCGGTTATGGTCGGTCCTGTGGCCTCTCCTCCTCTCTTCCACTCGCCCACTCTTACACGCTCAGAAGGCCGCGCCGCTTGTTTCCGCGCACTCTTCCGTTTCGATCCCTCCCTCGACCGGGTCACATGACCTCTTCCACCCTCAATCTCTCAGTCTCGCAGTCACGTGACTTCCGCTCTGTGCACGTGCAGTCTCGGCATCTTGGCATCTCGGTACGCTCACTCGATTCCAGAGCATAGCATTCAGCGGCCTTCCCCCCACACACTAGATCGCATTCTCCTTTGTGATCTACGCTTTTCTACTCACCTTTGCCCTTTTCTTCTTCTTGATCTCTTAACCTGTATCTTCATCTCTCCATCTCTGTTTGTTCACCTAGCTACAAAGGTAATGCTTTCTCCGGCCGCTCCAGCATGGGAATGACCAATTAGGCAAGTGGGGGGGGGGGGCTAGTCTCCGATGCCTCTGTGACATGCTACTGCACTCCAGCTCTGTAGTGAAGTTTGTACTAGGAACAACAGATGGACTACAACTTCTACTCAGAATATGATTAGTCTCACTGAAGCACACAGCTTCCAGCAACTCTATCCTCGTGATGCTATACCATCAGCAAGCATGTTCAGCCTCAATGATGGGTACTGCAACACTTGAGATGATTTGGCTCTGTGTGGCAAAGGCTTGCACTCTTAACAATGCCAAACACTTCCCTGTAGCATGGTAATAGCGAATGACATGATGCATTTGGTCTCAGCTTCACCCGGAAAGTGTTATCTAGGAGCGATCATTCTCTTTCGACCCAGTTTATGCCTGCACTCCGTCAATCGTCCTCCATCAATGGACCATACGCAGGGCTCCGCTACGGGAGCTCCTTTGCGCTATCGAGAAGGAAACACCTGCGCGGCGAAGCTCTTAGGACTGTCTGCAATGGCTTACGTAACGCTTCTTTTGTTCCTCGTCTCGCAAGTTCCTCTTCTGCTGTCCAATTAATTACGAGGGTTGCTAGGGGACTATGAGATCGACCACATGACCACAAGCCAATTAGCCCGTTGTTCCGTTCTGTGTACATACGTTCTGCTTCTCGCCTGGAATCACGACATCACGGGCAGAGAACAGCGGCGGTACGCCGTTGTGTACGCCATGTGCTTGAGCGTTGTGTGGACCAGCTGTTGTCATATTCTATTAGAGTGTGGCGTGAGTTGTTTCTAGGAACACACTCGACGAGGACGGTTGACCTCCGCGTCATGTGTGCTGCCAATATGTCGATCATGGGTATGCGTCGTACCCCGTCTGAAAAATGTAAGTGGTCTCTCGTCCCCTGGCTGAAGTATGTGCGACTAGTGAGGGCTGGTCATAGCAAAGAGATAGGATAAGATATTTCCATCCAATTCACGCCATGGTAACAGTTTCGGCCATTTGTTTGATGTGTTCGCAGGCGCTTTTTCGTCGACCAGGTATTCGTTTCAGCGGAACCAATAGTGCTCCACAGTAAATCAAGTTGCACGGGCTGGTCCGTGTTTGCCTCTTGTCACTGCTACCCCACCATTCCTGTACCCTCTTGTCGTGGGCGAAAGCATCCAACTGAGGCGTACTTCCATTCCTTTTTTTTCGTCCCCCTTTCACTGGTATTGACGCTCCTTTTTGACATTCCAAGACCCATCCCTCGGTTCTGAGAAGTCCGTGACGACAGCCAAGCCAACTCGCTCGTTCAGGATCGTAGACTTTCCCTCCACAATGTCCCCTATACTGGCCGCTCGTGACGTCAACTCTTCTTCGGCTGGTATGAGCAAAGGACTGTACCTTGCAGGCTTCACACTCGTAGGACTCCTCATCGCCGGGCTGTCGCTATGGTTGCTGGTTCGTTGCTACAAGAAACGAATGGGCGAAAAACGAAACGGCGAGCGCAGTGCTGCATTCCTTCATGTGAAGGGAATCAGGAAAGCTGGGGACATCGTCCCCACTGCGCGAGGGTTAGTCCCCATAACCATTTTCTTATCTGCGCAATCGTCTTACTAAATGCCTATTAGTAGGATACCCAACGCTTTCAGCAGGGAGAACATGACGGCCTCCGTCGTTCTCCCGGACAGAGTCCTCATGCGGCAAGCCTACCCTGCAAGCCAAACTTCCACTCCCGCTTCCTTCGTACAGTCGCAAGCTACCACCACCTTTGATCCCCCCCTACAAGTGCCTATATCCCCTCTAAACCCTGCCCACTTCCGACTTAGCCATGTATCCACTCACTCTGCCCATTCCCCCATTGCTCACCCTTCGTTCGTGCAATCGCGCACATCTTCTTTCAGCGCCGGCAATGCCGCATCAGCCTCCCCACACGCCCGACCTGTCCGTCAACTCTTCGATCCTGTCCTATCTGACGAACTCCCCTTAACGCAATTGGGCGAATATCTCGCTATTTTTGAATCCTTCGACGACGGCTGGTGTCTCGTCGTCAGGGATAATTCTCGTCCGCGCCGATCATCCATCACTTCCACGATCATTGGCTTCCGCGGCAGGAACTCTAATGCATTGAATGCAGATACTGCTGAAGGAACCCAACAAGATATAGGGTTGGTCCCTGCATGGGTGTTTGTTAAACCTATGAAAGGCCTCACCGTCGAACGGCCTATGCGCGTCTCAAGTGTGGATGCACTCAAGCTTGGTCTGGGTGGCGCGGAACCTTCAAGAGATACGATGGTCTCCTGGTCAAATTTCGCATAGAGTGCGATCTTACATGAAAACTTTCGCTGTCGACCCACGGTTGTTATGCCTTCCGTTGTTTTCTTCGTATCATATGTCACTGTGTCCCTTGCCGTGTCACCCCGTTATTCGGAAACACCAGTCTGTTTTCGCATAAGCTGAGTTCCGGCATATATTGTTCTTCTATTTCGCCCATGCTGTGCAAGTATCAATCATTCTTCCGCTCCCCTTGCTGTGCAAGAAAATTTAAAATATGATGCCGACCAAGCTCGTCGTCACGTGTCATGCTTCTATCGATCACCTGCGATTATTTGTTGTGCGTTGTTGTACCTGTTCTCGTAGTTTTTTTTGCAGTGATACCTGTACGGAATTGTAACGCCATACCCTCCACACCCACAACTTGTTACAAATCTGCCGAGGCTTCTTAATCATCGCGCCCACCGTACGTTTTTTGTTTAGTTTCCAGCGCTATTGGGCGGCGGTTGCACTCGTGCCGTTCTCCCGAAAAGATGGAGTGCATTGAGTTTGAGAATGTAGGAAGAGAGGTAGGTGTCAGTGAGGACGTCCTAATAATGGAACGACCCCTATTAGAGATACCACCCAAATTCCAATCGTCATGCTTCCACCCGGATTCAAGATACGAGAGCATCCATTCAACGCATGATTGACTCAGGACAAGACTGCTGTTAGATTTGGCAAGTCGCTCGTAGCCTTTGTTCACTAATTGACGCTACTTTTCCTTACCGTGGGAAACACTTCCCGTTTACGGGTCTACAAGACCACTGTACTTAGTTGTTTCGAGCGCTGACAATACAGTGCGGTAATTTTTGGTTTATTGTCTCCAAATGTTTCATATGTATAATTAATGGTACAAGCACTCATGCTATGACCATGCTTGTAGTTTCAATACCGGGTTCAACACCCGTGTCTCACCCTTTTGTTTCATATAGCGTATTTAACTTGTTACTGTAGTAACACCACCTCAGACGTTTGCTGCTTGTGCACTCAACTGAGATCTTGCTATAGGTAATGCAAATATAGACGTTTGCTGCTTGCGCACTCGACTGAGATCTTGCTATAGATTTCTGTAAGGTTATGAGCCCCAAGCTCTAATAGCCTATATGACATCCCACCATTGTTTTTGATATTCTTGCTGCCAACCGACCCTCATCCCCCCCCCCCCCACAAAATGACTACTGCCATCCCTGTCACCACCAACATGCTCCCGGGCAATGTCCCAAAACTTGACATCAAAGGCGCTGTGAGTCAAAGTGAGGTTCAGTGGTGAAAACCAACCAAAACCAACACAAAAGACAATGAAAGCAAGTGGTGGTGTGCCTATGCAGTACCTAGATGGTAGAACCTGTTCTTTGGGAGGGTTTTTGCGAGCTACAACACTCAAAGATGAGTGCTGAGGGTTGGGGGTGCTCCTGATGAAGAGGGAGCAAGAATGTGATAGAGAGTGATAGGGTAGACTGCTGTCAGCCTACAGAAGGATGGATGGTGACTTAATTTGATGTCCTAAGCTGTACTGAGCTCAGGGAGGGCTTGGAGCAAAGTATATGGATGATAGATGATGATAAGTGAAGTAGATGATAGCTAGACCCTTAATAAAGTCTCAACTATCAAAGCTGATGAATGATTTACTGAGAGATGATAAATTGCGAGCAAGAAGGGCTTTCTGATGTCTTTTTTTTTTTGCTACCTAAGTACAGTGACTTATATACAGTACAGGGGTGTTGCCTATGGAAAACAAGGTGTAAACACTTGGTAAGCGATTGGTAACTGATGAGTAAGGAATGTAAGCGATGGGTAATCGTCTTGGAAAGCATTGGTAAGCATTGGTAAGGATAAGTAAGCCAAAAAGTGAAGAATCAGTAAGCAAAGTCAAAAGATTGGTAAGTATTGGCAATAGATGAGTCAAAGACAGTCAGAATGTCAAAGTATGAGTCAAGCAATGTCAGGAACTGGGAAAGTGCACTGGAATCACATTAGGGGGAGGCTGTGCATGTCACATCTTGAAGAGATCACTTCTAGGCCAAAGTGGGATGACAGAGAGGCAGTGCTGGTCTGATGCTGATATAGTACATCCAAAAGCGGACAGGGTGAGTCAGATGTCAACAGGGGTCAAGCTTTGGGGGTCTGTGGGGTGACAGGAGCATAGGGGATCACAACTTTCCCCCCCAAACCATCCTCTCAGTGAAGCAAATAAAAACTTCATGAATGAGGCTCTGTTGGAAGAGAGGATGAAGGGGGAGCATCTTCTGCTGTATCTTGCAACAAGGAGGCAAGATGTGCATCATACTCATCATGGATGTGATCAGGGAGAGTGGAGAACAGTAGATTATACTGTAGCTGTCGCAATTTTGGAAGAATGATGGACAAGACTGGTATGAAGACGTTGCAGGGGGCAGGGAGGAAGGATCCATATGCTTCTTGGACTGGAGAGACTGAAACAACCACATAAGACCTTTCCAAGTGAATGACAGACCTGAGGTGACCAAAGAACGTCCTCCTGGAGGTCATACTGACAAAAAGAACATGCTGTCCAAGCTGGATGGGCTGAGAGGGGGCAGATGAGGGTGGGATGTACCAGGACGCTTCAGGATGGAAGCTGGTAGGAACTCCTGGTAGATATATGTAGCCATGGTCCCTAGCAAAGGGGACAAGTGAAATGACTGATGTGGAGGCAGCCATATCAGAAGAATTAGTGAAATGAGCGTCTTTTGGAGGGAGTGCTGTAGAAATGTGTGGGGTGTGCAAATCCTTTCCAATCTTGGAAGGTAGGATCGCATGGCTGAGCACTACAAGCGAGTGTGGGAATGGTTTCGGTGTCTGCAGAATTGGTGGAGATACGTCGAAAACTGGAATGCCGTACATGGGCGCTTAAGAATTTTACCAGTGCTTAACTTGCCTCCTCCTTTTTCTTTGCTATTGACAACTTGTTCTTGTGTGAGGGATGACTGCCAACATTGCTGGCTGTCCTTCTTCACATGAGGGCTATGGTCTTCACCTCCATTCATCAGCTACATCCATGTCCACATCACCAAACACCTTTGGTGTGTGACAGCATGTACTGGCCTGAGAAGAAGTCAGTTACTGTCAAAAGGAATGTATATTGGAATCCCTCCTCAGCTGAGTCGTTACCTTGCGAGGGGGAGGAAGAAGACAGCTACTTACTGAACACGATGCTAACGCCTCCAGCTCCTGTCCCAAAGACAAAAGAAATTCCAATGCCTCCACACATTGCCCCAGCTCATCCCGCACCCCCATCACCTCCAGCTGAACCACCCATCACGAAACGAATTCAAAAGCCTAGCCAATGACTTGCTGATATCCTCGCCAGTAAAGGCAGTACAAATGGTTGTGGTATACCTAATATACCAAAAGGAGTCCAGCTCCCCACTACAGTCAAAGACAAAGCCGACCCCACCAGACTTGAGGGGGAGGACAGAGCCACAGCTTTGCTCGCATCCATCATAGATGATCCCAACAATGCCCTTTGCAATATTGACCTCACTATGGCCATGAACAAAGTCACCACTGAGTCCGAAGCCCTTGAGCCTACCTCACTGGCTGAGGCTCGTCATCGGCCAGATTGGTTGCAGTGGGAGGCCGGGATAAGAGAAGAGTTAGCAATGTTACACGTGGCAGGTACTTGGGAACTCATTGATGCACCTTGTGGTGCCAACATAGTTGGATCCAAATGGGTGTTCCGCACAAAGAAAGATGCTGCTGGAAATGTGGTATGGTACAAAGCCCGACTCGTCGCTCAGGGCTTCTCTCAAGTCGAAGGCGTCGATTATTTCAATACCTTCGCCCCAGTTGCAATGCTTGCATCCATTTGAACTGTCCTTGCTGTGGCAGCACGATCAAACCTGGAACTCCATCAGATCGATATCAAAGGTGCATACCTGAATGGTACACTTACCAATGACGAAGTAATCCACATGCAACAGCCCCCAGGCTTCAAATCCACTGATCACCCCAATAAAGTCTGTTGCCTCCGAAAGACATTGTATGGTTTGAAGCAGAGCAGCCATCACTGGTACCAAAGATTAGTGGAGATCCTTGTCGATGAGCTGGGCCTTACCCAGTGCTCGGTCGACCAGGCTGTCTATTTCAGACGATGCACCACCAGTGGGCTTGTCATCATTGTCATCCATGTCGATGATTGCACCATCACCGCAACGTCCCTAAACAAGATAGAGGAGCTTAAGCGCAACGTCAGAAAATACGTTGAGATTACTGACCTTGGGGAACTTCACTGGCTGCTTGGCATTGAAGTAACCAGAAATAGAGATGAACGTACCATCTCCCTGTGCCAACGCCCCTACATCGAGTCCATCATACGATGCTTTGGCTTTGACGAGCTCAAGCCTGTGTTGAACCCAATGGAACCCAGTACCAAACTGCATTCTGGGCAGTCGCCGTCAACTGGTGCTGAATTCACTATGATGCACCACGTACCCTATCGTGAAGCTGTAGGATCGCTCATGTACGCCTCCCTTGCCACTCGTCCCAACATCTCATACGCCATAACAACTGTCTCACATTTCTCGGGCAACCCTGGAGTTGCTCATTGGGAAGCTGTAAAGAGAATTTATTGGTACCTTCTTGGGACAAAAGGCTTATGACTCATGTATGGGGGATCACCAAGTGCATTGACCGGGTACGCAGATGCAGATGGCAGCATGGCAGAAGGCTGCAGGGCGGTCTCGGGGTATGCTTTTCTAATGGGCGGCGGGGCGGTGTCATGGTCTTCTAGAGGACAGGAAATTGTCTCACTCTCAATGGCTGAGAGCGAGTACATGGCAGCCACACACACGGCCAAGGAGGCCTTGTGGCTTCGGTCGCTCATCAGAGAGCTTTTTCAGCCATTCATCAAGCCAACCATGTTGTTTTCTGATAATCAATCAGCCATCACGCTCACTAAAGACCATCAGTATCACGCATGCACCAAACACATTGATATCCGTTTTCACTTCATTCGCTGGGTCATAGAAAACGGCAAAATTCACCTCATATATTGCCTGACTGCAGACATGATCACCGATACACTAATGAAGGCGCTACCGTCTCCGAAGGTGAAACATTTTGCGGTTGAACTCAGCCTACACCTGACTTGAGGGGGAGTGTTAGATTTGGCAAGTCGCTCGTAGCCTTCGTTCACTAATTGACGCTACTTTTCCTTACCATGGGAAACACTTCCCGTTTATGGGT